CTTTCTGGTTCTGTCAGAGCGGGAATTCTGCTCTGCACTCAAGTCCCAGGGTTTGTTTGGATTGGGGGGGGGTTGGGAAGGTGTTGCTGCCTCAGAAAATCCGGAAGTTTTGACTCGGTGGAAACGTCTCCCCAGGAAAGGGAAACCCCGGGAGGGGCTGGGTCAGGGCCTGGGAACAGCCTGTGCAGTGCCAGGGCTTTCTAGGAAACAGGAATTTGGGAGGTGGGAAGGGCTGTGGCCCAGTGGGACGTTGAGGAGCAGCAGATTCCGCTGCCGCTTTCACTTTCGGCTCTCGGGGAAGGGATTTTTTTTTTTTTTCCCACCAGATCCCGGAGAAGGGTTATTTTCCTGGTGGTTCCAAAACAATTCAGGCACTGTGCCCTCCCGGCAGGATTTTGGGGTGGAGTCATGGAAAGGGAGGGGAATCCAAGGCACTGAAGCGAAAGGAGATTTGGGCTCGTTTCCCACAAATCTGGGCCGAGCAGGAGGATCAAAACTTTAAATAATTAATTACAGCCATTAAATCCCAGGGGGATGGTCAGGGGGGCTGGGAATGACGGGATTTTACACCTCAGAGTTGGCTCTGGGCAGTAAATTTGGGAACCTTGCTCCCAGTTTCACTTAGGCCAATTCCCAGCTGTGTTTCCCGGTGTTTGTGTTTCCAAACCCAGGGCAGTGCTGCCCCTGGGATATTCCAGGAGGGAATGAAAGGCACCAAGGGAGGGAAAACTTCCTTCTGTTTGTTGTCCCCTCAAAGGCAGCAGTTCTGAGGGAACAGCTGTGAACATCCCTCACTGACCTTTGAGAAAGGATTCCCTGCTTTTTTTTTGGGAGTATTTCAGCGTGTCTCCAGTCGGAATTCCAATCCTTTTTTCGCAGCTATTAATCCGTGGAATCAGGGTTTGGAAAACTTCAGGGTTGGAGGGAGAGGGAAGAGCCCAGGAGGAAGCAGAGCCTGAGCAAGAGGGTTGAGAATGTCCTGGTTGTGTTCCCGGGGGGGATACAGGAGAAAATGGGAAGTACAGGACGTACCATTCCCTGTCACATCCCCTTTGCCAGGAAGGGAAGTTGTCCTGATCCGCAGTGAGGTGGTGGATATGTGGATACAGGGATGTGGGGACATGGAGAGGAGCTCCATCCCACTCCCATGGTACAAAACAATCCCTGAGGTTTAATTCCAGCTCTGCTCTCGAGGGCTCAGGTTTCTGGCAAAGTTGGGAGCCCTGGAAGTGGCTCGGGAGGAGCTGATCCCCAAACCTGGATGTGAAGGGTTAAACAGGTCACACAAAATCGGAGAAACGCAAAAAAAAACCCCACCCAAAATGCACAAAAATCCTTTAAAGCATCCAAGGTGCTCATTCCAATCCCAGCTCTTTCCAAAGGAACAAGTAAAGCTTGATTATCTTTAGTCCTGGATTTCTGCTCTGCTTTCCCTCCTGGTTAAAAAATTCCTTAATTTCTGCTGTGCTGCCCTTCCTGGTCAGACAATTCCTTAACTTCTGCTGTGCTTTCCCACCTAGTTAAGATTATTCCCTAATCTCTGCTCTGCTTTTCCTCCTGGTTAAAAAATTCCTGAATTTCTGCTCCGCTGCCCCTCTTGGTCAGACAATTCCTTAATCTCTGCTGTGCTTTCCCTCCTGGTAAAAAAAGATTCCTTAATTCCTGCTGTGCTTTCCCTCCTGGTCAGACAATTCCTTCATTCCTGCTGCGCTGTCCCTGCTGGTTATCCAGGTGTTTTCCATCCCCCCTTGCCCATCCATGAGTGTGTTTTCCCATCCCATTCCCGTTCCCTTCAGGGTTCTCTTTGTGTCTGGTTTTTCGGGGACTCCATTGCAGGGGGGGTTTGGCTCCATGATCCTGGTGGATCCTGGTGTATCCCAAGATCCAGGCCTTCCTCTGTGGAGCTGTCCCTGCCCTCCCATGACCAGCAGAGTTCATTAATTCCCCTTTTTCCCCCCATTCCAGGATCCTGGGCCTCCCCCACCGTCCCCGCTGATGGGGCTGAAGCCTCTGCAGCTGCTGGAGATCAAAGCCAGGGGCAGGTTCGGGTGTGTGTGGAAAGCTCAGCTCCTCAACGAGTACGTGGCGGTGAAAATATTCCCCATCCAGGTGAGCTGGGATTCCTGGGATCCTGGATTCTTCCTCAGGTCATCACATTAAACCAGCTTGTCTTGGGGATCCCAGGGAGAGATTTTACCTGGTGTTCTGCATCCAACCCCAAATGTCTTGGAGGTGTGAGCGATGCAAGGGAGAGTTTCCTTGAGCTGAAATAAAGGTTTTAATGCATACGATTGAAATTTAAATTAGTGGAATGTCAAAACATCTGATTGGAATATTGAAATATTGAAGTATAAACTTTGTGGTTTTAGTCATAAAAACACATATGGAGCACCAGCAGCTTGAGGCAGCTCTCGCAACCTCAGTAATCCCATAAATAATAAACCAGTCAATAATCAGATCAAATTGAATTCCATGAAGGGACTGGGCCAGTGAAATGGGCCCCAGCTGAGGGAGACAACACTCAGGTCCCACCCAGCCAGTGCCCTTGGAAAGCCTCGCTTTAAACTGTGCCCAGAACTGTGCCACCCAGCCAAGTTAAAGGATCTGAATGTCCCTGCCTGGTGCTATTGGGCTGGATTAATTAATTCCATTAATAATTAAACCACACCCACACGCTGCTCCCCCGGGGAGGAGAAACACGGCGGGTCCTTCTTGCCGCGCGTGACAAATCCCACGGGTTTGAAACGCTGGGAAGGGCATTTCCTGCGGGAACAGCCCCCCCCTTTCCCGGGTGCTGAGTGGGATCCCCGTGGTTGTGTCCCAGGACAAGCAGTCGTGGCAGAACGAGTACGAGATCTACAGCCTGCCGGGCATGAAGCACGAGAACATCCTGCAGTTCATCGGCGCCGAGAAGAGGGGCAGCAGCATCGACGTGGACCTCTGGCTCATCACCGCCTTCCACGAGAAGGTGGGCCCGGATCCCTGCATCCCGGGGGTTCTTGTGGTTCGGAACAGCCTCTGTGGGAATGTCCCACAGACGTGGAATCCCAGCGGTCGAGGCACAAAAACCTAAACCGGTTTTCACTCGCCGGTCGCTCCTTGTTATGACGGTTTGTTTTCAGGCGACCGAGAAAGCCGTCGGGTTTTATTTAACAGGAAAACAGGCAAGCAAAAAATGAGTTCTGCCCTTTTTTTTTTCCTTTTGGCTTTTTAGAATATTTTTTCAGAATAATTTTTAGAACGTTTTTTGGGATATTTGTGGGTGTGCCCCACAGACCTGTGAGTCGGACCAACCCCACCCTGCAGAGCTCGTGGGGGTTTATTTTGGTTCCCCGTGGGTCAGTTGATAGTTGATGAACCCCAAGGCACGCAGATGAGTTCCCTGGTGACTGATGAGGGTGTGTGAGCTGTGGCTGCTTCCCGGGCAGGGCTCCCTGACGGATTTCCTGAAGGCCAACGTGGTGTCGTGGTCGGAGCTGTGTCACATCGCGCAGACCATGGCGCGGGGCCTGGCCTACCTGCACGAGGACATCCCGGGGCTCAAGGACGGCCACAAACCCGCCATCTCACACAGGTACCCCCGTTATCTCACACAGGTACCCCCGTTACCTCACACAGGCACCCCCAATTAATTATCTCCCACAGCCACCCCCGTCATCTCCCACTGACACAGCTCTCCTGCATCCCACCTGCATTATATATTTATAATATGTTCACATATATTATAAATGAATATAATATGTATTATATGTTTATATGTTATATTGTAAGTAATATTTGTATTTATATTTATATATTATATTGCAATTAATATTTGTATTTTCACTTAAATTACCTGTTTCTTAATTATTCTTTGTTTTATTATATTATTACACAAAATATTTTACATATTTATTATAGATAAATGTATATATTATATATAATTTTAGTATATATAATGTATAGTATATGTAATGTATAGTATATGTAATGTATAGTATATGTAATGTATAGTATATTATAAATACATATAATACATATTGTGAATATATATTACAAATATTTCTATTCATTGCTGTTTAAATTAACTATTTCTTTATAATTTTCTTACCTTTCATAAAATGTTCTTTGTTTTATTATAGTAATGTTTAATATATTAATATATATTAATATATAATTGATTATATATTCATATATTTATATATGAATAAATGTTATATAATATTTATTGTATATTTTAATGATTATTTTATAGATAATAATATTTGTGTTGATTGCTGTCTCAATTATCTCTCTCTATTTTCTTCCCTTCCACACCATAACGCTGGGTTATGATGTTCCTCTTTCCTTGGAATTCCGTCGGTGTTCCATGTTGTAGATCCCTAATTTTGGGGCTTTGTCTTTGCCTCGGCAGGGACATCAAAAGCAAGAATGTGCTGCTCAAGAACAACCTCACGGCCTGCATCGCTGATTTCGGCCTGGCCCTCAAGTTCGAGGCTGGGAAATCTGCAGGAGACACCCACGGGCAGGTAAATCCCCGTTCATTCCCAGGAATCCCCCCTCTCCCTCACTGCACGGCCCCTCTCCCCGATTTCATCCTGCCGGAGGGTTTGGATAAGAACATCGCAGTGTTCTATTCGTTGACACGGAGGAACTTCCAGGAGTTATCCCTGAGGAGGGGCAGGCATGGGAATGTCTGATCCCGGTGTCCTGGAGCCCTGGGATGTCCGTGCCCAGCTCCAAGCCCTGCCCTGTGTCCCCCTCCAGGTGGGCACCCGGCGCTACATGGCCCCGGAGGTGCTGGAAGGGGCCATCAACTTCCAGCGGGACGCGTTCCTGAGGATCGACATGTACGCCATGGGACTGGTGCTCTGGGAGCTGGCCTCGCGCTGCACGGCCTCCGACGGTACGGACCGGCATCGGCATCGCCATCGGGGTTTGGGACAGCCCCAGAGGTTCTGTGTGTGAATCCAGTGGTGGTTACAGCCCAGGGTTTGTTATCCCGGGAGAAGCGTCCTGGCACGTGGAATCCTGGGCTGTTTGTTCCCTGCCGTGGTAAGACAGACCCACAATCCCTGTGGGACTCCTGGAGCTCAAAACACCTGCTTTGCTCCCAAGTTCAGCCCCAAGGGTCGGTTTGAAGCACGAATTAACAAGGATTTGAAAAGAGAAATCTCATGTGGGTGCCAGGACGAGTCAGGATCAGCCCGGGATAAGGGAAAAGGCTCAGAAATGTTTTTGGAAAAGTTGCATTGTCAGTCCGGTCTTTCAAGCTGTAAATTCCACTGAGTGAACGTGACAGTTTCCCCTGGGCTGAGATGTTGTGTGTCCCAGCGGCTTCTCCAGGAGGGTGGGACCAGGTGGCTTTGAGGGCCCTTGCAAGCCGTTCCAGGCTCCTGATGAAGCCCTTTTCCCTGTGCAGGCCCCGTGGATGAGTACATGCTGCCCTTTGAGGAGGAGATTGGCCAGCACCCCTCCCTGGAGGACATGCAGGAGGTGGTGGTCCATAAAAAGAAGAGGCCCGTCCTGAGGGAGTGTTGGCAGAAACATTCTGTAAGTGTTACCAACCCCGAGCCTGGCATCCAAACCCTGCCCAGCCTGTGGGGTGTCCTGGGGAGAACTGAATAATTCTAGGAGGGATGGAATGGGCTGCAAATTAGTGTGTTCTTCATCCTGAAATACTCTTTGAGTGCTAGAAAGGGATTCTTTCGGGTTTCTGGTGAGGGATTCTTGAGTTACTTTTCGCTGAGGTGACACCTGATGGCTGATGGATTTCACCTCTTGGTGTGAGCTCCGGAATGCTGTGGTGACGCTGCAGCACTGCAGGGAAAGGCTTTGCTGGCTGCTGTGTATTGTTTAAATGTCACAAAGAATAATACAATACATAATAATTCGTACATAGTAATGCAATAAATAAGAATATAACAAAGCAGACCCAAGGCTCTGTCAGAGCCAACCTCGACACCACCAACCCCAAATCCCAACCCCACACCCTGTTGGACCCCGGGGTTCAGATTAGGCAGGAGGACCCTGGCTGTGGTTTTTTTTGGGGTGGGTGCCCCCTGGCTGACCCCGTGTGCCGTTCCTCCCCCGGCCCGCAGGGGATGGCGATGCTGTGCGAGACCATCGAGGAGTGCTGGGATCACGACGCCGAGGCGCGGCTGTCGGCGGGCTGCGTGGAGGAGAGGATCATCCAGATGCAAAAACTGACTAACATTATAACCACGGAGGACATCGTGACTGTGGTCACAATGGTGACCAACGTGGACTTTCCTCCCAAAGAATCCAGTCTATGATAGTTGCACTGGTCGTGGAAGCGCCCACGGGACTCTTCGGCGGAGCCGCTCCCGCGCGCACGGGCCGTGCCGGCGGGGAGAGCGGATGGTAAGTCTCTCTGGAAGCAGCACCAAGAGGTGTTGGTTTGTCCTTTGTTTGCCCCTCCCCTCGTCCCCAGCGTGGATCCACGAGACTTCCTGCATTCCCTGCTCGCACCTGAAGGACATGACCGGACCCCTCCCGTGCCGACGACAGCGAGGGACTTACATGAAGAATAACGGACCTGTCGGGGCTTAACGAGCGTTTTAAACACTGACACCCGATTTCTTAATCCCTGTCGGAAGAGACTAATTCCTTACATGAACTGCTGTTATTTTTTTTAAAATCAAACAGACAAAACAGAGAAAAAAAAAAAAAAACAAAAAAACCATTTCATTTCAGATTTAAAAAACAAAACAAAACAAAAACAAACGACAGAAGAAAAACAAACAAACAGAAAACAAAAAAAAAACAAAAAAAGGGTAACTTTGTTTTTATCGCATTCGTCGTCGTTTCTATCAAAATGACTCGTCGTGACGCGACTACGACACAGCTTGTGAATGTTCCGTGTGCTGCTGTTCCGTGTACAGGACCGAGAGGAATCAGTGGGATAGAGCAAAGAGGCTTCCAAGTATTACTTAACCTCCCTCAAAACCAGGTATACCTCAGTTCCACCTCCTAAATTATCGTCGACAACACTAATTGGGATGATGAACCGCTCCGTGTTTTGTAAATGATGTTTATTCCCCGTCCCTGTGTTATTTAAGAAGGGGAAGGTGCCCCCAGGAATGGCCATTCCCAGAGCCGTGTTTTTTAGCCTTTTCTTGTACTCGCTTGTTGTGTATAAAAAAAGAGAAAAAAAAAGTGCTGTTTATTGAAAGAAAAGTTCCCTCCCTCTTTTAGTTGAAAGCTTTTCCCTCTGTTTCCCAGAGTATCTCATCCATTTATTTAACTGATACTATTTAGGTTTGCTGTGTCTGAGGAATATTTGAAAACTTAAGCATGACTTTTTTTTTTTTTTAATTTTCTGTGAGCTGTGACACTGGAAAGCTCTGAATTCTTGTTCTTTTTTTTTTTTTAAAAAAAAAAAATTCTTTTTTTTTTCTTTCCTATTTATGTTGGTGCCGAGATTGCCGCGTGTTCCCTGTCCCAGCAAACAGTGGGGGCTGTGTCCCTGTTCCAGGATCACCTCAGGAAGCTCAGTTCCCCCCTCCCAGTTCCTCACTCCCTGCTTGGAGATCTGCAATTCCCTCCGCTCAAAGCTCGGTGCCATCCCCTGGGAGCGCAGCTCACGCTCCCTGGGATCCACAGGTTTATCCTGGAGTCACACAGAGAGTTCTGGGCTACAGATTCCAGCTCCTAAATTTCAGGGATAACTTAGTTGTGCTCACCTTGTGCAATGACCATTCCGAGGTAACGAATATCCATAGCGCAGACTCGCCAAAAATGAGGAAAAAACGTGGAAGTGGCTCCCACTGGAGTTCAGGATGTCACCCCTTGTGTTGGAATTACAGAGACTGGGAGCTGGGTGCTGCAGTGCTTCTCCCAGCGCGGTCTCACCACGTCGATTGGATCCTTTACCCAAAATTCCAAGGACAGGAAATGTTGGAATGGGGAGCGCAGAGCGGGCAGCGGCCCCTGGAGTGCTGAGTGTGTGTCCGTGTTCCCCTGTGTGTCCAGTCAGTGTCTTTGGAAACAGCTTTAACAGTGCTGGGAGCTCGCTGAGGATGGCTGGGCAGCCCTGGGATGGGAATTCAGGCCTGGGATGGGAATTCAGCCCTGGGAACAGCGGGATGTGATGGATGAAGGGAGAGGGAAGGGCTGATGTTCCACTCAGGGCTGTGCCTTAGGGACCTGCGCTCCACAGGGGAGAATTCCACCTTGTGACACTTCCCTTTTTAATCCAGTTTTGATTTAACTTCACACACACACAGGACAGGAACGGAGTTCTGAACAAATCCCAATCCACTTGTACTCCCTGAGACCTCTGGGCTCCCAAGGAGCGAAACTCGGAGTGAATGGAGTTGGACTCTGTGCTCTCTGAGATCTGGTGCAAAGCCTGACGGTGTGTAAAGTGTCCAGCATTTGTGTTACCCTCAAACTGGGGTTTCTCACAGCACTTGTACCTCTGCCTTTGCGCTCTGCCGGTGGCTGTCCCAGCTCAGTTCTTGTCCTGCTCCCATTCCCTGGGATTGAACAGCGTGATGTAGCGTCCCTGAGAACAGGCTGCTCCTTGGAGGTGCTTTGGGACTGGTCAGACTGGTCTCCCCTGGGCTGTCCTGGCCAGCTGCTCTCTGGGGTTGGACATGAATTCTGCTTTCACTGCTGGAGCATTGACTGAGCTGAGCTGCCAGGGCAGGGGCCAGGGAGCCCGGTGCTTGGGAACACTTTGGCATTGTCCCTGCCTGTCCCCTGGCTCCCAGTCCAGGGATGGCCCTGGAGCGGTCCCCGATCCCGCACGGCTCTGCTCCCGCCCCCCCCAGCCCAGGGGGTGTCCCAGCAGGGCTGGCATTCCTGGGCTCGTCCCAAACTGCCCCCCAGACATGGAAACACCCACCCAGGCCCAGCCTGCCCCGCTCCCCTCAGCACTGACAGCACCCGTAGGGCCCCCCTGCTCCTCCTCCAGCTTTTTGAACCTCTTGTGAGACCTTCCTGGTCCAAAGCCAGGAAGATGCAATACACACCCGTGGGCAACAGGACTCCAGTAGCATCCTTGATGGAACATCTGTTACCTCAGATACTCAACCAGCAGGAACTGCTTTTGTTCTCCCTCCTCCTTTCATTTTGTTTCGGTCCATCTTCTCTCCGTTCCCTCTCGAGTTTGGGGAGCGATTTCTTTACCTTTCCTCTCTGTATTTGTCAGTGTTTTGGGCACAGGTTGTTGTACTACTGTCAAAAGGTACTTGCTGGGTTTCTGCAAGTGCTGAAAAAAAAAAAAACCCCAACCAATCCCCTCCCTCCCCCGTTCCCCCAACCCTCAATAAAGTGATTGTTAAATATTGTACAAATACAAATGTATACTCTGCCCTATTCCCCCAACGGGAAAATAAAAAATGTGACTACTCTGACTTGCAAATGCCTCCTTTTAAACTGCTTTTCAACAGGTGGGGCTGATCTCGAGCCCAACTGGGAGTCCTGTGGCAAAAAAAAAAAAAAAAAAGAGAAGGGGAAGGTGTTACAGGTCAAATCTGGTGAGAACCTGCCTCAACTCCAGCACTTCTGAGGGAAAATTCCCCTCTTTTGTATCAGGACACTGCAGCATTCCCTGTATTTTATCCCTTTATTTTTTATCCCTGTTTGCAGTGTGCTGAGGAGGGTGAGGCCCTGCTCCCAGGGCAGTGCCAGCTGCTGCCAAGGGCAGGGAGAAGCCACGTGCTGGGAATTCCACACACTGCCACTGCTATTCCCTCTGCTGCAGCCCAAGGTCAGGGCTTGGCTGCCTCTTCCTTCTCCACAGGGATCAACCACTTCCAGGAGAGCTACCCAGGAAGCAGCGGAGAACCCCTCCCATTTTACAAGGCCAGCTGGAATTACAGGAGCTCCACTGAAAAACAGGGAGATTGGGCTTGGCTGAATCCACCCTTTCCTTCCTGGAGAACAGCTGCTGCAGGAAAGCCTTTCCAGAAGGTGTGCAGGAGTGGCATCACTGACAGCACCTGCATCATAAGGATGATCTTTCAGGTCCCTTCCAGCCCTAACCATCCCAGGACTGTTTATCCCTGCTTTCCCAGGCACTGCTCTGCCCCTGGGGAGGTGCAGGTGTGCAGACAGAAACTCCATGAAGCAAAGAGTAAATTAAATAACCTGGGACTGCCAAGGGCTCCTCACCCCAGAGCTGCCAGCAGAGGCCAGGGCAGCGCTCCCGGCCGGCATTCCCAAACCCTCCTCGTGCCGGGATGCGCTGGCCACGTCACACCTCGGCTGGAAGCAGCAGAAGGTTGGGATGAAAGGTTTAATGAAGTGATCAAAGATTTAATTGGGTGCATTTTCCAGGCCAGGTGAGATTTGAGGAGAAGCACGGGGTGAGCTCTGACCGGCTCGTGCCGCAGGACTGCCGGGAGGGCAGCGGGGCCTGAGCCATGATCCAGAGGGACAAACTCCAAGGACTTGGATTGAGAAGTTGGCACCGAGCTGAGCTAAACCACCTAAGCCTTGGAGTCAGTCACAGGGGCGGCCGCTGGGAGACACAACGTGAGCGTAGCTCCCCTTCCAGCACATCCCAGATGGATCAGCACTGCGGGCTCCTTCCAGGGATTCGTTAATCCGAACAGTCTCCCGTGGGTAACGCTCCATCTCCTGGCGCTGGCACTTCCCTGCCGGAGCAGCCGTGGAGCTCAGAGCCAGCTGAGGGAGGAGGCTGCCCACTGCTTCACGTCCGTGGGGCAGTTGGGATACACCTGCAGCGCATCCATGATCTGGGTGTTGTCCAGCAGCAGCTTCATCAGCAGATACTCCCGCTGCGCCCGCACCGACGGCCTCTCCAGGGGCTTCACCAGCTCCAGCTGCAGCAGGTGCTCGAAGGCCTGGAATGCAGGAGGGGGGCCAGGGGAAGTCATTCCTGCCGGGAGCAGGGTGTCCCTTCCAGCCCCAGAACACCCCAGCTTCCTGTCAGGGTTACATCTGCCCCCTCGGACCTGTGCTCTGGGAAACAAACCCAGGTCCTGAAAGCTTTCCAGTAAAAACATCCCGTGTCAGGCTCACCTTCATGACAACTGGCTTTTCGAAGTTGTACATGGAATGTGCTTTCCTCTGGATGAACTTCTGGAATTCTGTGTGGGTGACAGATAAGGGAAAGGTCAGTGAGGGGGCAGGGAGGGGTTTGGTGGCCGTGAAGCCCAGGATTGCTCTCACCATTGTAAACCATCTGGAAGTTGAAGGGTTCTCCATCATACACGTCGTTCAGGTGCTTCATGGCAATGATGAGGCAGATTTCCAGCACAGACAAACCTGCAGGAAGAGACGGGAGAGCCCTCAGGATCCCCCCCTGAGCACATCAGAGGCACGAGCAGTTCACTCACTGTCTGCATTCCTCTTTATTTTTTTATGCTCCAGGCCTCACCCATCTGTGTTATTTACCTTCATTATGTTAAAAAAAGAAATCCAGAACTGGGGAGAACATTTGTTCTCCATGTGTTTGAAGCGAGGCTGTTAAGCCATGGAGAAGCAAGACATTTAAGTGTATAATTTGGCAGTTCCAATCCATAGATGGGTGAGCTCCAGCAAGCAGAGGCTCAGGTTGTCCGTGTCTCTCCCCTCAGGGGGATTCCAGAGGGGCACCTGACACTTTCCCTTTCTCCTGAGAGGCGTTTTTCCGGGAGAAAGGCTGAGCTTTACCGTGCACGATGTTGGCCTTGGAGTCGGTGCTGTGCTGCCTGCTGGCCTCCTGCAGGTCTGCTGCCGTGAGCAGGGGGTGCTGCACACTCACTGCGCTGACAGCCAGCATCTGCAAACAAGCAGGACACGCTCATTCCGCTCCTCAGCCACGGACAGCTCCTGCCTGGAGACGGGACACTCCACTAGAAACATTAGGGAATAGAACTCCCACATGTAAATTGTGGAAACCTCACTAATAGCTGGAGTTACAACCCCCCCGTTTGCCAGGAGGGTTTTCCAAGCTTAAAATGTCAAAGCCTCCCCACTGGAGGAGGTAAACCCTCAGGAACCTGTTTGGATCCATTCCCATGGATCAGCACTTCAGCAGCTGTTTTACATCTGGGACACCTTCCACTGTCCCAGGTTGCTCCAACCTGGCCTTGGACACTTCCAGGGATCCAGGGGCAGCCACAGCTTCTCTGCCCAACCTGTGCCAGGGCCTGCCCACCCTCAATTTCTCCCCTAAATCCCATCTCAAACTGAGTAATTTGGGAGATGAGAGTTAACTTCCAGCTCCGTATTTCCATGGATTAGTTGCCTCCAGCACCTCAGGATTTGAGATGAATACCCCATTTCCTGGACTAGTGTCACAGTAGTGGATGATTTAGGGGTGGGCTCCCTGGATTGCTCCCAGCTCTGGGAAACAACGTGGTGCCTCATCACACACTTCATGAAGGGATCTTATCTGACCTTGGAAGTGATAAAAGGAAGCCAAAGCATTTCCTCCATGTGAATAAAAGGGCTGCAGGTTTAGCAGGAAGAAGAAGAAGGTTTAGTAGGAAGAAAAAGGTGTTTTCTATATGAATATAAATATCTCCAAGCACATACCAAGAGGAAGTAGAGCGAGCGCAGGTCCTTGGTGTGGTGGAAAAGGTTCTGCAGCACATCCTGTGCAGTTTTATCCTCTGAGAGACGCTAAAAAAAAAAAAAAAATAAAAAAAAAAATAAAGTGGCATTTACATCATCCCAAATAATTTTATGCTCACCTGGAAAAATGAGGGTTAAGCAGTTCTTTGAAAGAGCTCAGCTCATGGCTGACAACACAATTCTTCACATCTACTCTCAACTTTCTGTGACCATTTTACCCCCAGACTTCGACGAGCAAAGGTTTATCACCATTGAATTTATTCCACAACAAACTCAATAGCAGTCTCAGGTAAAAGCTTTACACTCATTAACTGGTCTTACTGTAGAATTTTTACTGAAACCAAGTACCAAAAGCTTTGAATACCTGAATATTGTCATTCCATTTTTGTGCAAAAGGCTGATCAGGAAATTCGGCAGGAAGGGAAAGCTGCTCTTTAAATATCTTAAGGTATTGTTTAAAATCAAAGGAATTCATCAAATATATCTGTCTGTGAGAGAACCTTGATTTTACTCTCTTCTCCAAGAGCTCCAGGATATCCTTGATTTAAAAAAAAAAAAAAAAGTAATTAAAAAAGGAAATTAATTTAGCGCATTCTTTGGTAATTTGTCTGTACTGTAGCAAAGTAAAAGGTGCTGAAAAAAAAAAGAATTATTAAATTCTCAGGCTTCAAACATTCCAACCAGACCTGTGCTGACTGTTTTAACTGATGTGCCTGGAAATGCCTGACAAGCCTCTCCCCAGCCCACGTGATGCCCCACATCACCCGGGATCAGCAGTTGCTAGGAAACCCTGCAACATTTCTCCATAGATGATGGAAATGCTTCGGCTCCCTAAGCCTGGAATCAAGACATTTCACCCCAAAAACTCCAGGCAAGTTGTCTGTGTGGTCACAACCACGTTGCCTGTTGTCAGACTGAGAGAATACAGCTTAAAAAAAAAAACCAAAAACCAGTTAGGAGCAAACAAAAAAATCCTCAGAAACAACTGTCACCACAGGGCAGCTCTGAAGGCAATTCCTTAATTACACTCCCAAAGTATCACCTAAACCCAGACAAACCCCAGAATTCAGGATTGATGAAATATCTTTATTATTATTCTTCCTGTCATAACTCTCCTCACCAGTTAACTCAGAGAACAGTTTAACCTTTACAGAGTTTCCACAGTGCTGCGAGTTGACGAGATCCATAACCTGCCCGTCACTCCCTTTGAACGCCGCCGTAAAAATCACGGGAAATCGAACGTGGATCCCAAACCCGGGTTGGATCCGTTTAAGGATGGATGAAGGATGGAGGATGCAGGAGGGGGCGCAGGTTCTCACCTGCCTGCAGGTGAGCCCGATGACGGTGACGGGAGCCTGCGCCGACTGGGAGATGTCGAACAGGTTGTAGAGCAGGGTCTGGTTCTTGTGGTGGACGAACAGGTCGAACTCATCCAGGACAAACAGCACCGGGCAGCTGCTGCTCCGGTCTCCTGGAGGGCAGTTTGGAAAGTCAGCAGGGAACTTCACCCAGCAGACCCCCCCCCCCACCTCTATGGCTTTCACTAATTACAGCCTTAATAATTTACATGTTGATGTCTCTTAGCTCTTAAGCAAAGCCCTCCTTTCACAGGGCAGAAAGAAAAACACCCTGAAGAACAGGGGAAGGTTTTGTTGTTGTTCTGCCAAGCAGCATTTCTGGCTTCCAGGGAGGACAGACACAACAACTGACACCAAAGATTGGTTTTATTTACCTCTCCTTAAAGCTTCCAGAAGGAATGCAAGGTTTTCAGCAAAACTGCCCTGCATGGAGAAGGAAAAGAGATTTTCAAAGTGATTCTCTGCATTGTTCAGCTGCAGCAGGTTCAGGCAGGTACTGAAGGCCATCTCCCCTTCTAAAACCCAGTTCCAGAAGAGAGGGAATGTTTCAGTGGAGAGAAGGACATTCCTGCAAATCCAGAACACTCACTGAGTAACGGGCAGCAAGCAGTGGTAGCTCTGAGCAGTGGCCCAAGTTATTTCCCACTCAAAGGAATGAAATTTAATCTGAAGCACTTCAGTCACTCTCCCTATGACTGAATTCAGCACTGATGTAAGTGGGTTTACCTTTGGGAAAAGGTGCTTCAATAGAAATAAATATTTTAGCAGAAATTCCACGCAGAAGGAGAGCTTGAGGAAGCCTGGGAGAGGCTGCATGTATATTTATACACTAAAGATGCCAGAACACCAAAGAACCTGCTGGGTGGTTGGTTAACTTGCTAACTCCTGAAATGTTAAAAGACAATGCTCACAGAATACCCCACCCCTCTGAACAAAGAGCTTCAGTTTGGTCCCTTTAGGGGCTTGTCCTTCCTTCCTTCCTCCTCCTCCAAGGAACAACCGTTCCACAAAGCCAGTTTCCCAGACGGGGGGTTTCTGAGGGAAGTGAGTGAAGATACTCACAAAGACTTTATCCCCAACCACATTTTCCAGCTGCAGCTGCCTGGTGATCTCCTTCAGGGCCACTTTATCGCTCGTCTGCAGGAGCCCTGCAAGAAAGTGATGTTGGGGCCACAGCAAATTGCTGAAAGCAAACTGTGTACAGAGAATGTATTTTCAGTACATGCAGTATTAGAACTGGATAACGTAACACTGGATCCATGCTGAATTACTTGCCATTCAGGTGAACTTCCAACAGGTTCTCTCGAACTTGTTTCGTTTCCCTGAGGTCTTTTAAGACGTGATTTAATAACTAGGAAGGAAAAAAAAAAATACAGAAGATTAATTGCCACTGGGTTTATCCACTCCTTCCCCACCACCACTCCCTGGTGTTTTGGGGGTTATCCTTCCCCTGGAGCATCTTGGGGAACAGAAAAAGGTGACAACAACTGGTTTGGAAATGCAAATATAAGTGACCAGCGAAGTGGCAGGGTGACTGGTGTCAGCCTGGGTATGTTTAACAGCTATTAACTTGTTTCTGTTGAACTTATTTAAAAGCCTGAAGACCTCCAATGGAATTTTCCTAATTGTTCCATCTTGAATGCTTCCTGCAGTAAGAGCCAGTCCATTTAGCACATTATGTATTGATGGGAACATAAGAGACCTGAGTGATAGATAATACTGAAGGATAAAACACTTCAGTTCCTTGTCATCCCTTCATGTGCCTCAAATTAAAAGGAGTTCCTTTAAAAGATAAACCACAGCCACTCATATTGTACCTCCTGGCAGTTCAGGGAACAACATTCCTTGGCACATTTCAAACACGATGAAGACACCTGGTCATTTTTTTTACATGTGTAGAAACCCACCCCTTAGACTTTCACAGCTTTTGGATGCCTCTTCAGTCATTTTTACAGTGGGGGGGCCAATAGAAATAGCAGGTTAATTCCAGAGTGATCAAAAGGTGGTTTTAATGGCAGAGAGAACTGCAAGGAACCCGTTTCTCCACACTGCTGTTCCACAGAATCAGCTCACAAGAAGCCCTGGAATATTTTGCATTTCTGTGTGAACCGTCTCTTTAAAAACAAGCAGAGATGGAAATGCAGCTCCCAGAGCTCCCCAGGATTTCACTGGGGTCATGCAGCTCGTGCCTAATTTGCTGAACTTCCACTGGGTGTTCCTACCGTGGTCTTCCCTGATCCTCTGGGCCCAATGATGAGGGCAGAATTACTTTCTCCATGCAAAGTGGTTCTTTTCAGCAGCTCCAGCAAATGCCTGTGATGGAGACAGTGACAGGATGAAGGGAAAAGAGTCACTGAAACTCGGGAAAATACGGAGAATCAGAGAAAACTGGCTACGCTTTCAGCTTCCTCTCAGGGCATGCAAAATGTGATACAATGAGGCGCAGAGGGCTGAGTGATCAGAGCTCTTAAAACAGTTTAAAGCATTAAAACCTAAAAGAAGTTGAGAGTATCACTAATTCATAAAGCTCTGCAGTTGCCCCACCACCAAAGGACAGAATTCCACAGCTGGGTTACACTACCCTTTTTATTCAGTGTTACTTTCTCTCTCCCAGAAGAAACCCCAGCTCCCATCAGGTGACTCCACTTGCACAAAGTTGCTCTTGGGGAAAAAAAAACCTGTTTAAAGCAAGTTCTTCAGATACATGGTTGCTGTTTTCAGGCTTTGACCTGCCCCTGGAAGATGTTTAGGGCTGGGACTGTTACTGCCACAGCAACTCATCTCCTCCTAACTCTGGCCCCGAGAAGCAGGTTTGTTTTAAATACGGGTTTCTACTTCAAAAACCATGATGTCAACAACCAAAGTTTCAAATTTAGTTTCAGAACAGCTTACCAACAAATAGGAGAAAATATGAAGTGAAAATAAGAGAATTCAACTGTTTGCTTGGCCAGGCCATTATGGAAAGCCTTAGAACGTGCACTAAAAGTCAGGCCCAGACAAAACAAAACAAAAGGTTGTTCCAGGAGCTACAGGTGAGAAACGAGGACAAGAAATCCCAAACTCAGAGCCTGACAAAACCAGCCAGGAACAGTTGTATAAAACCCCTTAAAATGTGAGGCAAAGCATTTTTAGCAGCACTGCGCTGCAGGTCATTGAAGCCAGGATAATTCTGAAAAACAGATCCAGCAGCAGAAGATTCTGACTTCACCTGATTATTTTTTTTTTTTTTTCTCCTGAAGTTCAGTTAGAAATGACTAGAGGCTGCTCACTCACCTGTACTGGTGCTCAACCCCAAACAGCTTCCCAGTAGCACTGGAGTGGGGACAGAACCTTTCACGTAGAATTTGTTGCACCTGCAGGGATAACACAAAGAGGATTTTGGGTGCTTGAAGCACCAGAATGTTCCAGCAGTAAAATAACTGTGAGATATGCACGTTTGTCGTGTCACAGATGTTCTGTAACATGTAAATATTTACTGCCACCGATGACACAGGGGTCTTGAAAGCAAAAATAAAGCTGCAGTAGGCAGAACCTTGTATAAATATTACGTAAAAGAGAAAACACAGGTAAATTGTGAAGTGTTTTTATTAAGGATCCAAGAAGTAACACTTGAAGGAAACAATTAGGTGACAAGCTGAAAGAAGTATAAAAGCCATTCACAGCCCTAGAAATTACATCCAGTACCCATACAAGTCTTTTTTTTTTAAAAATATGGAATTCTACAGTTGGCAGAGGATGGAAAAGTTCCCTAACTGAAAACCAAAGTCGTGGCTGAAGCTGTTACTGACCTGTGAAATGCACTCAGCACTCGCTCCACAGCTCTCCTTCAGCTTACGCTTACTCATTGCAGATTTCATCTTTAAAGAAGACAGAAAATTAAACATTACATTCCAAATAACGTCCACCAGAAGCTGTACTTAGATGGTGGCTATTTTTGAAGGACTTAGAACTGCAGAGAACATCTTTTCTTAACAAATAACGACGCAGCAGCTCGCCTTGCCAGACCCAAAACCCTGAAAGTGTTTTTGATTCATTTTTTGCTTAATTTTAATTCCTTTTAATCAGCGTTTAGGATGCTTTGGATAACAATAACCGCAGCATCTCTCTGGATAAGCTGGCTCTGAAGGGGACTGGGGGGTCCTGAGGGGTTTTGGGGAACCATAGGAGGGCTGTGAGGGGGGGGAATGTCTGAATGGGGGGTTCTGGGGGGCTTCTGAGGACCCTGAGAGGGCCCATGAGGGGTCTGGGGGGCCCACAAAGAGCTGGGAGGGAGGGCTGTAG